CCATGACTTTGCCCGCGAGACAGAGCTCACCATTGACGAGTGGATGGAGAGTGTCAAGTTCGTCAACGCCCTGGGCGAGATTTATGTCAAGAGCGAGCAAGACCCGCAATGAGACACACCGCATCTGCGATGTTCTCGGCCTTGAGTCGTAAGTTCCATTTTTGGCTTTCCCCGTGGAAACACAAACCTTATTCTAACATCACCCAGGCTTGTCGACGAGATCGCCCACAAGATCGTTTCCGAGTCCGGCATGGATCCCACCTCCTCCTCCATCTTGGGACCCTTCTGGTCGCCGAACGCGCCCTTCCGCGCGCACGGCGACGTCATCTTCCAGGACGGCGTGCCGGCCGGCGGCCGCGTGACCAAGATGCACGGCGTGATCCGCGACATCACCACGGGGCAGCCCATCCCCAACGCCGTCTTCGACATCTGGCAGGCGTCCTCCAACGGCAAGTACGACTTCCAAGATCCGGACAACCAGTCGCCCAACAACCTGCGCGGCAAGTTCCGCGCCGACGCCAACGGCCGCTACTGGTTCTACTGCCTGCACCCGACGGCCTACTCGCTGCCGCGCGACGGGCCCTCGTGGCAGCTGCTCACCATGATGGACCGCCACCCCATGCGGCCCGCCCACATCCACATCATGGTCACCCACCAGGACTTTCAGGGCTGCACCACCCAGCTCTACCCCAGCGACGACCCGTGGATCAAGAGCGACACCGTCTTCGCCGTCAAGGACGACCTGGTCGTCGAGTTCAAGCCCCTCAAGGACGACCCCAAGGCCACCCTCGGAGCTCGAGTACAATGTCAACCTCGCGCCCAAGGGCTACAAGGGCCGCCTTTAGGGGATGAGGGGGTGACGGCACGGGGTGTGACGATGGGGAAAGTGAAGGGGTGTGTTTCTTTGCTGTACATATATCGGCCCATGTATATACCCTACTTTGGACACGGCCTGGACGCCGTTGGGAAGGGGTTTGTCATTCAGAGAACTAGCGATCACATCATTTGGACATGTATGAGAATTGATGAAAGAGCTTCAACACATTTGCGGTGCCATATGTCCCGCTTATGCTATGCGTTCTTGACACTATGAGGGAAAGAATGTACATTATGGGACGGTAATGGCGACGAAGCTGGTTTAGGTATGTGGTGGTGTAAGTCAATTGGGAATTTAAGGGGGTGTAGCCCTAGTTTGGGTAAGGGAGTGAGCAAGCTGGACTTTTGAACTCCCGAATCGCCTGAGATTAAATGATGTATTGGCCCAAGAATCCCAAGGCCATGCAAAGCCGAGTATCAATCAACGGTGGCAATCCTCCCGGGCAACCTGCTGTCTTACAGGTTGTGATCATGCTCGCGGGCTGAACGACGGGTTATGGAGACAGCTTTGTCGTGGAGAGAGCCCTGAGCATAATACGGATGAACAAGTCGGAAAACCCCAAGATTAAGTGCCTATATTAGAATAAGTTTGCTCAAACACAAAGAAGAGGGCTTAGTTCCCCTTAAACAATAAGACGACATAACCAAAAAGAAAACACCGTCGACGGCGCATGAATGTAATGACAAGGGTGAGATTCGAACTCACGCCCCTTTCGAGACCACGGAAGACTCGCAAGAGTCAGGATCAAGGATTTGAAACTCCTTAACGTGGCGCCTTAGACCGCTCGGCCACCTTGCCTTCTGGACTTAATGTTGAGAGTTGTGGGGTGGGGATGGGGGTTATGGATGGGTGATGGTGGAGTCAGGGGTTGGGCTGGCTGTTCGGTATTCAAGAGCTGGGTTAGGGTTGATTGTGGGTGATGTAATGAATTTGACTCGAGCTGTGTCAGATGGGACGATAAGATGTTGGTGGTTGAGACGAGACGAAGAAATGGATCGAGACATATTGTAGCTCTTTTCTTTCCTTCGGCCCCCGGTCATCAGTTAAAGGGAGATGCTTCAAAAAGGAGATCTGGCACTAGTTTTAGTGGCACCGAGTTTTTTTTGACTTGTACCTGAGGCAAATGTTCAGGCCGATTCAACTTCCATTGGCACCATACACCCCCTGGAATTACCTGGGATGCAAAACAACGCTCCCGTCGCGTTCCCCAGTACCGGCAAGTTGCATAACTTTGCTTGACAGAATATGTACAGCGCCACAACTGTTCTATTTCTTTTCCTCCGTCTTCTCCTCCGGTTTTGGTGTCGGCAACTTGAAGGTTTCGGGTGTCCGGTCTACACCGGGACCAATCTGTTCCCACGCGCTGGATCCGCCCTCAAAGTTGCGGAATGCCTGGGTAAGCTCGAGCGGCTCTGTGACAATGCGCTTCTTCTCCTCGTCCCACCGAATCTCGGTATAGCCCGTGACCGGGAAATCCTTCCGTAGCGGGTGGCCCTCAAAACCATAATCCGTCATGATACGGCGCAGGTCGGGGTGATTGAGGAAGAACACGCCGAACATGTCATAGACTTCCCGCTCGTACCAATTGGCGCCGTCGAACAGAGGGGTGGCGCTGGGCACCGGCGTGGTCTCGTCCGCATAAGTCTTGACGCGGATTCGGGAGTTGTGCCTGACGCTGAGCAAGTTATAGACGATTTCGAACCGTTGATCGCGGGTAGGAAAGTCCACGGCCGTGATGGTGCTCATCTGGGTAAACTCGGCGGCGGTGTTGTCTAGATTGATCATCAGCTACCGGCTACACATGTCGCCTAACGTCGCCTTACACTTCAAGAAAGCGAAGACCGGGATAACGCCGGAAGGGGGGGATGTAGATGGTCAATTCGTCTTTCCAGACCGAGAACTGCTGGATGTACTTGGGGAGACAGCCCATGAGCCATGACCCGTACTTGTGCATGTTATCGGACTTGGATTGGTATTTGTCGGCCGGATTGACGAGAGGTGCCTGAAGAGGGGTGCCGACTTGGCCGCGGGGCGCGGCGCGCGGGTTCTGGACATCTTTGGGGAGGGCGACGCTATTGCGGGCGGTTGTCGCGAAACAACGCACAGCAGCCTCGTGGCGAACTGCGACCGATGGGTTCGCCGGTCGTAGGGCTGAGGCCAGAGCCCTGTTTCTGTAGAGCTTGCTGGCCATGGTTGTGGTTGGGAAGCGGGGCCCAATTGAGCGAGAATCAGCCGGTGGCCTCGATCAAAGACTTGCTTGACGATTCGATTTCGGATTGACGTCGAGCTTGGAGCTGCTCGGTCCAACCCAGTGAGGCAAGTCACGTGGATGGGGTAACTGCTCACCCGCTCGATCAGTTACGTGAGCTGGGGGGAGCAAGCTCAAAGAGCCCCGCCAGGGCAGCCGGCCTGCTGTCCAACCGCAGGCTGAGGGACACGTGCAGAATGGGCGCAAAGCCGAAACTGGACTAGCGGCAGAAGTGGACCCTTTCGTGGAAGGCTCTGCGTCGCCTTCAAGAGGCTCCTCCCCAAAACACGCAAACCACTGCTCCCTGCTGCCCATTTTCTACCAACAAGTCAGTTGCGGGGAATCCCGAGGTCTTCGTTGTGAATTTATAACGGTGTTCATCAGACGGATTATTTGTTTATTTTTTCCTTCCGTTTTCTCCTCGCGTTTACCATATTTAATACTCAACCCTGCGCTTTCACCCACATCGCTCCTCGACTGACCGATCTCCATCGTTTGCATCGAATCTCTCCTCCCGCCGCAACCACGTTGCTTCATTCCTGCCTCGAGGCCCCCCTATAACTATGGCGCCTGAAGATACATATTTCGATGATGAGGAGGACTGCTGGTATGGAACTTTCCATTGAATCCCGCCGTCTCAACCCCGCCACGCCACATCCCTCGTGCGCTTGATGGTCGTCCGGCTTCCACCCGCTAACCCCGCGTACCACAGTCCTCTTTGCATCGAAGAGTTTGATCTTTCGGACCGAAACTTCCGACCCTGCCCTTGCGGGTATCAGGTACGGACTTATCTATCCCTCTTCGCCTATACCCCTGGGTGCGTCGCTGACAGCGCCTCTAGATATGTCAATTCTGCTTCAACAACATTCGTTCGAACATGAACGGGCTTTGCCCAGCGTGCCGCCGCCCATACGACGAAAAGACCATCCAGTGGAAAGTCGTCACGCCGGAAGAGTAAGATGAGGTGTTCCGGCTTGGGTTCCCATTTGCTGACTGGCCACAGGGTGGCCGAATTTCGAGCGAATATTCAAAAAAACCAGAAAAAGCGTGCCGCCGAACAACGACAGAAGGAGGCACAGAAACGTGAAGCCGAGAAGGAGAACCGAAAGAATCTAGTGGGCGTCCGGGTCGTCCAGAAGAATTTGGTTTATGTGACCGGGTTGACCCCGACAGTCCGCGAAGATGAATTGCTCAAGACGCTCCGAAAACCCGAATTTTTTGGTCAATACGGCAACATCCTGAAGATTTCGATCAGCAGTCGTAAGGGCACGGACGGCCACAACCAGTCTCTCGGCGTTTATGTGACGTTTGAGAAGAAGGAGGACGCCAGCCGGTGCATCCAGGCAGTTAATGGCTCCCAAAACGGCGATAGGGTTCTGAGGGCTCAGCTAGGGACGACTAAGTACTGCTCGGCCTGGCTGAGGCACGAGCAGTGCGCGAATCGGCAATGCATGTTCCTCCACGAGTTAGGAGATGAGGAGGATAGCTACAGCCGGCAGGATCTGTCGTCGATGAACAGCATTAACTCGCAACGACCTATTCAAAACGCCGGCTCCTCCCGCTCCGCCTCGAGACAACATGCTCATCCTTCGCCATCCCCCGCCGTTGCGCAACCTATGGCGAGAAGCTCTAGCAAGGACGGCTCCGACAATGGCGATGCGCCGGCGCTGCCGGCCTCGGCGAACTGGGCCCGCAATCCGCAGGTCCGCAGCCGACGGGGCAGTCACGCCACCAGTGCTGCGGCCCCTAGCCCAGCTATCTCCAACTCGTTGCCGGCAACTGCTGAATCGGCCGTGGAAGATGAGCCAAGTGAACCCTCTCCCGTTGCCGGTCCCTCTCGGGTCACCCCAAGCGCAACTTTGAAGAAGATCAACACTATGGTGCCCACCGATAAGACCAAACGGATCCCGCACGACACTCTCAAGTCGCTGCTAAAGTCCCTCGAGGGTTGCACGCTTGCATGGCCCAAAATCGGTGGGGATATATCGGACGAGGAATTCAATAACCTTTACCCGCCGCTTTTCGACCCCCGTGGTGGGATCCGCCGCCGGGCTATGCGCCCATCTGAAGATGCTAGCAGTGTCGACGATCGGCAATCGAGCGCCGCCCGGGAGCCGTCAGAAGGCGAACCTGAGAGCAGTGGCAGTCTGGCTTTGGGCGGCGAGCCCGAAGACCGCGAGCATGGTCGCGAGGGTCCCAGCTTCGACCCCCGCCGAACCGCACAGCCGCCCATTCAAAGAGGCAGCACGGACGGGCCCTTTGGCCAAACCGTCGGCTCTAGCTTCACGCAGACAAACGCGAATCTTGGTTCAATTGGCGGCAGCCGCACCATGACGCCCCAACAACCCGCGTTCATACGCCAGCCGAGCAACTTTGTTGACCACCTCTCTGCGCAGCCTAACTTGTTCCAGGGTCAGGGCCACAACCGCCAGGGCTCGCGGTTCAGCTTTGCCAACGAAGGGAGAGAAGCCGCCTCGGCTACGTCCGTGAAGCTGACGGCCAACCCCCGGATCATGGCGCAGCAGTCGTCAATGATGCCATCGTCATTCCACAACCAGCCCGGTGGCCAGTTTTACTCTAGTTCGGTGGCTGGGCCCCCGCCGGGCCTCAAGTCGACGGGCACACCGCCGGGCGTATTTGGGCAGCACGGATTTGGGTCGGCCGCCTTTGGGGGCGCTCCGAAGGACACCAACGAGATGCTGCAACTTTTCCGCAACCGGGGCGCGGGCAGCCAGGCGCATGATGCCGGAAAGCGTGAGTACATGTTCTCTTCCTTTCTTAGCCAGTACCCACCCTCCACCTCATCCACCCCGGCTCCTGCCTCGAGCCACCTGGCATCGCTCTACGGTTCGCAGCCTGGAGCCTTCCATGATTTGGGTTCAAAGCAGAAGAAGAAGGGGAAGAAGCACAGACACGCTAACACTTCCTCCTCTGGGGGGAGTGGCCTAGTTGATCTTGCGGACCCGAGTATCCTGCAGGCGAGGATGCAGTCCCAGCAGCATCTGCAGCAACAGAGCAATGCCGGTCTCGGACAGGGACTGTTCGGTGGCCAGTCGCAAGGTGGGTACACCAACCCGGGCATGATGTACAACCCAGGATACCGGGGCTGGTGATTTCGGTACTGCGACATTTTTACCATTTCTCTATTGATTCATCTCTTTCTCGGGAGGGGCGGCATCCGGGTCTTGTTGTTTTCCTATTATAACTATATATTATGACGGCGTCGCTGGCAACGAAGGGTATGAGGGGTTCGAGAGGCAACGCCTTGATTCCGTGGAGCATCACCCAATCGCCGGTTCCGACGGAGGAGCCGCCTTGGGTTGGCGTCATTTGCATTTTGGGCGAAAGGCACGGATCCTTTTCTCCGGGGGGTTCGCAAACATTGGGCTCACGCTGTCCTATTTGCTTCCCCGGTCGGGTCTTTTTGCATCGCCAGGGTTGTCGGGTTACGTCAGGCAAGCTCTCATCGTCTTCCTCGCAGGTTCCCCCATGTACGTTAACTTGGGCCCCAGGTTTTGCACCGTCGGGGCTGAGGTGGCATCGGTGGTCATAATAGAGCATCATTTCACCACTTTCTCATAAACGGATCCCAACTTTTACCTCTTCAGGAAGACGATGATGGTAGTCTTGACGTAACCCAAGCCCTTCTGTACATAGCGGCGCCGGCGGCTTGTTCTCTTGCCCCTCCCTTGATCAGAGATGTCTCGGTGTCTTGGGGTTGTTGCCTGCACGGTGCTGCATTTCAAACGGAGACGCTAACCCTGGTTTCCGTAGACGACGAACTCCCCTCCCTCGATGAGGTGACGTCGAGCATAGATGCTCTTGTCGCCGACGAGCCCATTGACGCTAGTATTCGGCAACCCCCTGGCGCATTTGAGTCTCTTGGACGTGTCGGGACTCCGTCCGTGCCCCCTGGGTTCTCGTTCCCGAGCGCACAGCCATCCCCGGCTATCTCATATTCGTCTTTGCCACCCATTAGCGCAGGGCGGCAGACGCCACCGGTTGCTTTCCCCAAGGTTCCGTCAAAACCGCCCGTCGCCGCGTCCAGCCCGCTTACCAAGAAGGCGATCACGCCGGTGCCCGAATCTAAGAAAGCCGTCAAAGCCCTTGCCGCCGAGAGCGGGTTATCAAAGGACATTGCTAAAGTCAAGTCAAAGGTTCTGCAGGATGAAGACTTTCCAGCCCTCAACTCGCCGAAGCCCCGGTCCGCAACGCCGGTTGCCCAGCCCAAGGCCACGCCCAGCAAAACAACTGGCAAAAAGTCTCCTGAGAATCCTGCCGAGAAGGCAAAGGGGAAGGACAAAGGGAAGGAAATAGAGAAGGCCGCACCTGCGGTCACGCTTGCCCTAACGCCTAAGAGCGAGACACCCAAACCGGAGGTAAAGGCTCGGGAGACAGTTTCGGATAAAACCTCCGAAATGGCACGTGGGAAGGGAACGGACAAGCGCCCCACCCCTGGTGTACTCAACATTGCTGCGGCAACTAAGGTGTCTCAGATCAAGAATCTGGAAGCGCCGTCGGCGACGGACAAGTCGGCGACGGATCGAGATTCTGCCTTCCCGGCCCTTCCGACTCCGACGCCGGCCTCTGTCGCATCTCCCCTCGCCCGTTCAGCTCCAAAGACCCTCAGGGTAGTCTCCACGCCAAAGACAGAAGTGCCATCGACTCCAATCTTGGCGGCACCTGGCGTACGGGCGGGTATGCGCCCCGAGACACCAGCGAGTGAGTTAATATCGGACACTGCCTCCATTATGTCGGCTTCTATCTCGGCTTCACGCACGAACTCCCCCCCGCCGTCCAAAATTGGTTCCGCCCCGGTAAGAACGACGACAAAGAGCCAACAGCGGAAACAACGCAAGGAGGCCTTGAAGAAAGAGTCGGCTACTATCGCGGCCCAGCCTGCTAAAGTAGAGACGGCCGTTGAGATCGCCCCCATCCTTGGCCGCAAGAAAAAACAGAAGAAGGAAAAGGAGAAGTCGAGTAGCAAAGCGGCAACTCCTGCGGCGAGCCGTCCGGAGACTCCGCTAGCCACAATCCCGCCGCCGATCAGGGAGACTAAGGAAGCCGTTGAGGCTAAAGAGAGCAAAGAGTTGAAGGAAGAGTCGTCGGCTTACCGGTCCACGGCAAACGAGACCACCACCTTGACTGACGAGCTGCCACTGCATAAAGGCCGGTACGGCGATCCGAAGGGAAAGGCCGGGGAGAAGGTCGACAAGAGCTCCGAGTTATCCACTCCCCGGACTCTACCCACCCCAGCCTCGGTACTACACGACCTACAAACGGCCGGCCTGGTGCCAGATGGCGTCGAGAGCCTAGCCTTCTTCAAATCAGTCAGCGTCCAGCTGGACAGGTCGCGGAATGATGCCACTAGCGCGGGCATTCGAGATCAGGCAGCTAAGAACTCCATGACCCCGACCAAGTCGATCGTCACCGAGGACGACCAGGCCTCGCTCCTAGCCGGCAAGCCCGTCCGCAAGGTCATGGACGGAACGCGCATTCTCCTGACGCCCAACGGCGACTGTATCCGCAATCTTACACCCGATGAAGAAGATCGCTTCCTCGACCTCCAACGGCTCGTAGCTGAATCGACCGCCAGCCCCGCCGCCTTTGTCTCCTCCCGTCACGAGGCTGGCGGCGGTTTCAGTCTGATCAAAGGCCGCGCAGTCCCCAACGGGCCTCCTAGTTATTTTCCCCAGGCCCCCGCTGCCTACCTCTCCGATCCGGTGAACAAGATCCAGCGCGAGGAGGCCATCTACTACATCAATCAATACGTCCTACCGCGGCTGAACCTCAATTTCGAGAGACATGAGCCTGCCCAAGGCCATGTTCACTTTGGACACCGCCGGCGCTTGCACAGAACCAGACCCAGAGTTTAAGTGAGCCGTGGCTATACGGCCGCATCGGAGGTGCCGTGTCCTCTTCCCAGCAGCCACCACTCTCTCACGACGACATTCTTGATGTCGGTGTGGCCCCACCCGAGCTGAGCTACCCGGGCCCTGTGGGCGCTTTTGCCGACGAGCTGCACCACCACGCCGATCCGCACGGCGCATACCTCGACATCAACTCCCAACTCCCTACCGTCGAGGAAGTCTTCAGCGCCGCCTCCGGCACAGCCGCCGCTTCCTCCTCTTCTCCCCGACACCATCACCACTCGCACCATCATCACCACCATCATCATCACCACCACCACCCTCAACAACAAACTTCCTCACAACAAACCCAACAATACCAACAACCACCACCCCCGCACCAAACCCAATTTCAAATCCCCTCCGCCGCGGCCGCCACCTCTGCCATCGCCGCTGCCGCAGCCGGCGTCGGGCCGGGCATCGGCGCGGGAGGCGGCGCCATCAACTTCACGTCCCCAGGGCCCTTCGGCAACGTGCCACTCATGTCTCTCGAAGACGCCGAGCAAGCGCTGACAACAGCCCGCCGCGAGACGGAAAAACTCGAGAAGAACCTCGCGCAGCTGATGCGTAAGAACCGGAGGCTGCTTCTGGGTGGCGCCGGGCATGCGTCGCATGGTTCTATTGGTGGTGGTAGTAGCAGTAGTACTGCTGTTGCTGTGGGGGGTGCGGGTGGCAGTGGCGGAGGTGCTGGTGGTGGGGGGCATTGACTAGCCTGGGCCGCCGATGGCCTGCATGATGTCGCGGTCGATGATGTAACGGCCGCCGTGGTTGCGGGGTTGGGACGGAATCAGTACCGGCGTCAGCGTCAGCGGAATCAGCTTCGTGGACGACATCGACATCTTGATCAGCACCAGCATCATCATGGTCTAGGTTATGGGGTGGAGAGTGGGCTGGGGCTGGGGGTCATGAGAGACCCTACGAGTGCTGCTGCTGTGCGGCGGCGGGATGCTGTGGCGGCGGTTGCGGTGGCGGTTGCGCTTGCGAGGGTGCTGAGGGGGTTGAGCAGCTTGGGCGAGGCCGCGTTCGCGGCGGTGTGGATGGCTGTGTTGCTGCTGGAGAGTGTGGTCGCGATGGCGGCGAGGGGAGCGGTCGTGGCGGTTGAGGTGGTTTGTGCGGTTTTGGATTGGGTGGGGGCTGAGTATTGATGGATTGATGGATGGAGGCCCGGGGAAGGGCGAGCGGACAGGCTGGGGGTGTTGGTTCTGTTATGTGACAACCCCGTTTGTCTGTGTTGGTCAACTGGCCTACTATTAGCACCCCATTCTCATGGAATGGGGTGTGCGCGTCGTGTGTTTAACATGACATACTACTTTGGCGTTTGGGTGTAGGATGGTGTGAGGGTATTCTTTTGGTGTACGAATATGCATGTGGGCTACATGGCTAGGGGCATCTCTTTTCAAGAGCATCGCAGGATCAGCATCAGGAGGGTGGCAGGCATTATGTTCAGAGGGTTTGTAACAACAGGAGAAAGCCTCAGCGGTAGAATATACCAGCGGTCATAGGATTAAAAGCGTTTGTTTGACTACCTAAGTACCTAGGCGGTGCGTATCGGGGCGATGGTCTTCCCATGAACTGTGTGTGTGGGAGAGAATGTCGAACTTTGGTCTTGATGGCATAGGTAATACATGTTTTTATCCTTTGCTGGAGACTTCGATGTATCGCCAAAGAGATCTCTGTCTTCCGGTTATTTCAGACTATGACTGCACACCCATACCCGTCCAGTTGCGGTCTTCTTCAACCCATTCGGCGATGTACTTTCCATTCATTTTCGTTGAATAATCTCCTTTTTTATTCGTCCCGTCTCGTCTTACTCTGAGTTGAACAACATTTCGTCCATCTATCAGATTCTGTTCAATGAATGCTACACCCCATTCTCTCATCCCACCCTCTCCTTTCGTCCGCCCCTTCAAAATATATTGCCGGACCAAATGCCTCCTCCCAACCCCTCCGCCCTCGGTAATTCCACAGCTCCGCCGCACCGCGCACTCCGTCCTCGCCGAAGCCCCCACGACCAAACCAAGAATCCCAAGCTGCACCGCGCCAGGAAACGGAGAGCAGCGAGGAGATCACCGGCAAGAATGGCGAAACCAACGCATGGAAAAGAATACAACTGAGAGGCAGCCTCTTGTGTCCTTTTCGGCTCATATTTGACAAGGTCTTTCTTGAAGCACACCTCAAGAATGCATTCCGCGAGGATGCAGCCAACATCGCCGAGCCGGCGGAGGCGAGCAACAAATACGAGTCGTTCCTCGGCAAGAGAGATGAGGTGTGCATAGCATTCGAGACCGCGACGTGGTAACACAAGCCGGCTTGTTTGGTCTGCTATGGCATGCTGGGAGATTCGACTAGCCGTCGGGCGACTGAAGGTCCTCGTGGTATGTCGGTGATCGCTTCCCACATGCCCACCAGTCTCTATCAACAAGTTCCTTCACCTGTCCTCCTAACACCAACTGTTGAATCCCCGGGTTTCGGCCCTTTCTTTGAATGGGTGGATATGTAACCTCTCGGTGTGGTGACCCGCCAAGGGATTTGCTAGTTTTTGAGATGGGCCGTATATCTTGGGACGGACAATATAGGTTAGGATGGACAAAATACTTGGGACGGACAACAATGGTCTTGTGAGTCCCATGGGTGCCATGAGCACCACGCCACGACCCGGCGTGATGCCCAAGACAAACCATGGAAACAAGCTCCACCCATCCCATATCGAAGAGGCCAGTGGCATAGCCGGTGCCGATGAACGGCAGCTTTACGTGATAAAGATGAGCTCTCTTGAGTCTCATGTTGGTGTCTTCAACTGCTCTCAACAACCTGTTGTTGAACCCGTCCTTGTTGGGAACTGGCACAAATCCCAGGGCGCCGGGGCCGCCTTATCTCAGGTTCAGACCCTTTCTTGGGCGATCTGATACACGCAGCTACAGTCACTCCGTCATTGCGCACCACCACGAGCATTTATGCGCATGGAAATTTACGTGGAGGATCGCTGGAATGAGGGCTTTCTATTGGTACCAGTTTTATAGTGTCAAATAGTTCATATTTATGGATGATGATCTGTTGGGTCTGGCGGAAGCTGACGATCGCGTCCATCTCAGCGGCAACCCCCCCTCCAAAACAACAACAACGCGTCCTAAAAATCTGAAAATAATGTACCAGTTTCTTTTCAACCGGTACAAGGTCAGACAGTCATTTTCTCCCTGACAACCCGCGTACAATTAGGCGACTTTCTCCTTATATCATGAAGGTGTTTGACGACATTGAGCGCGTCTCGGCGACTTTGCGCAGGCTTGCGGGTGGCCATGAGCCTCGCCGCGGTCAGATTGAGGCCGTGGAGAGCCTCGCCATCTATCAAGAAGACACCATTCTCGTTGCTGCTACCGGCTACGGTAAAAGTGCTGTATTATTCGCATTCTCTGCACTCAAGCCCAACAAGATCACGGTGCAGATCGTCCCGTTGGTGACGTTGGGACAGAGCCAGAGAGAAGACATCGCTACAAAGTTACCGGAGTCGAGGCCCATTTGGATTGACGCGGACACTCATTTAAAGGTACGATTGAACGCTTGCCCCTGACCCCTAACCCCTGAATAGTTACTGACTCTATCATTCCATAGAACAAGCATGTCTGGAAGGAAGTCAAAGACGGGAAATACACCCATGTACTCTTGAGTCCGGAGCAAGCGCTGAATCCAAAGTTTAAAGCCATATTGAGAGATCCGGCATTCCATACGAAGATCGGCCTCTTTGCCATCGACGAACTACACTGTGTTGGCGAATGGCGGCATTTCAGAGAGGATTACACGTATCTCTATACGTTGCGATCTCTTTTGCCGGCCTCGGTGCCATGGTTCGGATGCACAGCGACATTGGACAGAGACAATCAGGGCTATATCCTCAAGCACGCCGGCTTCAACTCTTACCCCAAGATCATTCGCACGTCCATCGACAGACCAGAGATTTCCATTGTCGTCCAACCGCTCTTACGGGGCTCGATACGCGACTATCGCCGGCTCCAGTTCCTGTTGGAAGGCTCCAGTGCTGTCAATGTACGGGAGGTCCCAATGACTATCATCTACTTGGACAACAAGACAGCTTGTCTACGCGCGAGATACGCCCTATTACAATACCTCCGTCGTACTTGTGGATTCGAGAAGGGGTTCGCCCGCAAGGTGGTTCGACGGTTTGATGCAGACGTTCGACCTACCGACAAGGAGATCATCTTCAAGGACTTCGCCAACGTCGACACTGACTGCCGTATCATCGTGGCGACGGTTTCTCTGGGCATGGTTATGGATATTCCTGACGTCAAGCGAGTTATACAGTTCGGCATCCCCCCCAGTACCACCATCGCAGACATCTGGCAGCGCATTAGAAGAGCGGTGCGCAAGCAACATGTTGATGGCCGTGTCCAGGGCACCGCATATCTTTTCATTCCATATTGGGCCTTTGACCATCTTGGGAGCGTTGAGAAGCAGAAGCCAGCTACAAGGAAGAGGCCTCAGCCAAAAAGGTCTCAACGCCAACCACATGCCCCTACTGTTAGCAGTCGTCTGCAGCTCATGACTTTGATCGACGAAGACAGCGACGACGCAAGGAGCCAAGTCAGTGTCGCTACTCAAGCAAGCCACGACACGGCTGTATCAGAGTCTCGAACACAAGCTGTCCCTGAAGCGCTTACTCTCGAAGCCGCCGTCGACTCCCAGTGTTTATTTGACTTCAAGACCAAAGTTAAATGGACAAAGCAGGACGTATCTCAACGTGAGAAGCTTGATCCTGTTTTTATGGCGTTTTTGAACGCCTCTTGCTTTCGCAAATATGCGCTGCAGTATCTCCAGGAGGATTTCGACAACTCCGACCTGGAATATCGCCGCCCTCTTGGGCAGGGCCTCTGCTGTAACGCATGCAACCACGAGCTGGGAAAAGTCTCCGCCCTGCCACCACGCGAGAAGCGGGGGAATAAACCGTCTACCGGTTCCCTCGCCGGCCACGCGCTTGGCCATATATCATCATGGTGCGCCCAGAACGCCCAGAAGTTGGTACCGCAGAGATATCGCCGCTTTGATATTACCCCGGAGATGTTTATGGATATTAAGCTGCAGTATGCGGTAGCCCGTTTGTTTTCTGCTGTACGGGGGCCCACTAAAGAGCTTCCCTTCCAAGACCTCCATGGCCTGACGCAGAAGCACCCGGCTCTAAGAGAGTGGGAGCATTTTGAAGCAAAGGGGGCCGAGTTGGCGACGTTCTGTATCACATCGTTGGCGAAAGTCAAGGAAGAGTGGGAGGTTAGAAAGGCGCAGAGAGCTCGGGAGAAGGATGCCAGAGCGCGGGAGGCGCAAGCCAGCGGCGTTTTAGCTGCTGATGCGAGCAGGAAGCGCGCAGTAGAGGGTGGAGAGCAGTCTCCTTCAAGTAGAAGAGCTATTATATTGTGACGAAATAATAGTTGATGAAGTTGTTGGTGTCGTAATATATTGACCCCTCAACCCCTGACTCCTGGTATTATCAACAAGTGTCAAGAGAAGCGGATATCAACACCATTGATATAAATCTACATAGTTATAACAACAATACAGAGCGCATTAGAACACCGCCCCCAAGTCCTCCAAACCATCTACCCAGAAGTCGTTCTCATCTACATCAAATAGACGCTCCCCTTCATCCGCCCAGTCAATCTCAATCTCGCCCGGCCCGCTACCAACACCAGGAAGGCTGCGTTGATCAGCTGCGTCCTTCGGCTCTGGAATGACATCGTTGAAGTCATCCAAATTCTTCAGGAGGTTACGCTGGCCTCTCTCCCAAAGGTCAGGGGCATCGAACGCATCGGGACGGCTCTCGTGAGCTCGGCGTGGCATCCCATCCTTGTATAATTTACAAGCATATGAGATGATATCCGTAGCAGGATCGCCAGCAGCGTGCGTGCCCTTCTGCTGCCTGCCAAAGACCGTCTCAACAGACTTGCGAATTGTAGCCAAATAGGCGCCATTGACCGCCAAACGGCTAAACGTAGCCTCAATGTCATGCGTCGAGTTCCGAGTTGTCTTGACATCATGGGCATACCCAGCATGGATATGCTCCTGCATAAGATCAATGGCCTTGTACATACTACCGGCAGTAGTACAGCGGACCAAGCCACCCTTAAGTATCGCATTGCGGGTGACCTCGTCTTTGCTGACATTCGGGTGCAAGAGCCAAGCGAAATAGAGCATCTCGGGCCCGTAGTTTGTGCCACGGCCGCCCCAGAAAAGGAGAGGGAGCATGGGAATGATGTCTTTGATCAGGCCGTAATCCCCCTGACGGACTGCTTCGTGGATGATGAGAAGGACCTCCACACACTGCAGTAACCTGCAATGACTGCGGAACTCGATGTCAATTTCCGCATCGTCGTCAGGGTCCTCGAAATCGTCATATTTGCCGGTCCAGCCATTGTACGTGAAGCAAGTCTTCCAGATGTCCTTCAAGATACGCTTGAGATGTTTTCGGTCGAGCGCTTGCAAGACGCGTTTAACCTTGTCAACGGTAAGGTCAGCAGTGTCCACAAATTCAAGCTCCTCCTCCTCAACAAGCGCTTGAATGACCATGGCGGTGATCCTGGAGGTGTAGCCATGCATCAAGAGCGGCAGTACTTGGTGATACTTGATGTCTTGCTTGTTGATGTGACGGCTGCGCTGGAAGAACTGTACGTCGGCGGATATGGTAGCGCTCGAGCGGTCTTTACCGCCAGTATCCCAAAACACGCGGAAGAGAAGGTGAATGTAATTGAGTTCAACGTGGAAGAAGGCTGGCACCGGCAACATCCACTTCTTCCGCTCCCATAGCTGACTAGCTTCCAGTTGCTGTTGTTGAATACGGCGATTGAAGGAGGTGCTCTTCTGGTCCCCGAAAACTAGGGTCAGCCGTTCATCGTATTCTTTGAACTCAAGCCGGCGAAGCCAGAGCTCTTCATGAAGCCGGTAAACACCGGCAAGGGTGCCCTCGTCTTCGAATATAGCCCCGATCTGAAGGCATGGTGACTCCTTGTACGTAACCCGCCTGACGACGGGCAATGTCGGGAGCTCCTCGTCGTCCCGACCAAAGACCTTCAATAACGCGTATTCCATCAGCCATTTGGACGCCTTGTCGAATGTCTTGCGCCGTGGAAGTAGGTGCTTGATCACCATCTCGCGGGTGAATGGCTGTGTCGTGTCGAGTGAAGATTGTTTGAGAGGGCCATTGAGCTCGGGGCAGCCGACAAGAGAAGCAGTTGTCAAGTTGATCATCTGGGCTTGTTTACCACCCACAAGCTCACGAACGTTGCTCTTAAAGTTGAAGTTGTCGTAAAAAATGACGCCATTAGGGTCATGTGCGGCCTTCTTGAGGTTCTTCTTGGCCTGTTCGGCCATGTTGTTGAGGAGCTCGTTGAGTACAGTGTACGAGGCGATGATTCCCATCATTGAGAAGGTATCAATGACCCGACGTGGCGTGCCATTGGCTAGCATATACAATCCAAGGACTTTCCTCAAGAATGCACTGTTGTTGCGGGCGAACCCTCTCATTAGAAGCGATGTAAGCAGGCAAATTTGGCTGCTGTGGCTATCCTCGACGCTGATGCTTTCGAGGTTCTTATGAGGAATAGACTATAAAACCCTACTATTAGCTTCCGTATTGAGTTGCCTGATACACTATCAAAGACACGTACTTGGTTCTGTAGTAGTTGAGAGAAAAGGGCAACCATCCTCGGGGCTTTGACTTGAATCGTTGGCCACGTCTGCTTCAGTGTATCCTCCAACTAAGAGGTGCTACAGAAATCGGCAATGGTAGCGGCATTGTCGTCTTGTCCCGCATACGGCTTGAAGTCATTGAATGGATCTGTCGTCAAGAGTGCCTTCATTTCTTTGCGAATAGTGGAAGAACGGAATACATCGCCGTCTTCTTCTTGAGTGTCGGTGATCTTGATGCCCGCAGTTTCCAAGGCCTCTTTGACACGAGGGTCCCTCAAAGCCGCAGCCAGATGTTGGGCCCCCATGTGTCCCCGAACCCATTTGATGAGGAATGTCTCCAAGTTGTACGCCTTCGCTGAATCCTGTCCTCTATTCACCGCCCTCCTATTCTTGTTCCGCAGCCTCTGCCATTCTGTCGTCATGCTTTGGACAATGTCATCGGGGGAGTTCCTCTTCTGGTACGGGCTCAGAAAAAACTGGACCAGCTTCATCATAGTCCTCGGGTCCTGGGGGGGTCATAGCTGAGCTCTGAGAGCTCAGAGGACAGTTGTTGTAGTTGCGCAGGGAGCTGCGCGCGGCTCGGACCACTAGCATGGTCACTCGAATCGCTGGATGACAACATTTCTGTGGTATATATTAGTATCTTAAAATAGCCCAATCAATAGCGATTCAAATGGAACAAACCGCACTCAATTTGACGCTAATTTGGGTAGTGAAATTGTCGTTGGCGCAAAGAGGTCATCATTCGCGATCGTCGCTTGGGTGGGCTGGCCGATCCGCGACTCAGACCAGCTGGGTGGGTTGGCTAGGGTGGGTCATTTGAATTGGTTTTGATTGGTGGGTTCTAGCCACTATATGCGCTAGCCTAATGGAGAAAAGGCCAAGCCCCCAAAGCTGGGCTGAGTCTGAGATAACTCTTTTCGTTGTTCTTAATTGCGGTTCCCCTTATTCTAGATACTTTTTATCAGAGCAGCTCTGTAACCACGGTGGCGACGGTGACAGCTGTGGCCTTGTCGGCTGTGCCCTATATCTTACCGTTAGGGAGGATGAGCGGAGTGCGCGGACCGCTTGATGAGGAGGCAAGTTATTTATAATCTCCCGATATACCAGGTCGGACTCGTACCGCGTCGTGAAGAGCCCGAGGGTCCGGTTGTAAAGCAACCAGAAGCACTTGCCGGTCGCTTTGTAGAACTTGAACAGGGGAACCCCGATGTACCGGAGGTCTTCGAAGATGGCGCGGTCTAACGCCCTCTCTATGCTGGGGTCGTGTTGCGGTCCCGGGCCGGGGTTCCGGGCCCACTTCTTCCAGACTGCGCACACCACTGACCCTGCGTGGGTAAGACCCCACGCAGTGCCACCAGTTCTCCCACTTAGTTTGTTAGACCAGTTTTACACAAGAATACACAGATCTTTTCGTGCCTGTGTCTTTCACAGGTCGCTACGTTGCTTGACCTTGCGCTTGATGGTAGAAATCTCCTCCCTGGTACGCGTAAGCGACTGGGGGGGCGATATACTTGCCCTTGGGCTGGTAAATCTCTGCGATATAATCCAAGTCGTAGGGTACAGGGGATTTGGGAGTCGAGCTTGCTGTAATGCTGGGCTAGCGAGCCGAACGACTTGACATCCTCAATGCGGTTGAGGGCCGGGGTGCCAGTTCACGAGTCCCATACCACCGAATTATGTGCTGTCGAACCTAGCTCAAGGTTACTTAGTCTTTCTGTTGCCCACCACACAATGTCCGATTAAGTTGACAAGGCATTGGGCAGGCGTCGCGAAGGTACTGGTCACCCAGGCTATTCACAGAGGCCATTGTTGGGTCCTGTGGACCTTGTGTCACAAACTCAGAAACGTACAAAAGTAAATAGCAAAAGTTATGGACTCTAGAGAGGGGCTCAATCGGGGATCGAACCCGAGACCTCGCACATCTTCTTGCCTGTTTACAGGCGGTGGGTGTCCACCCGAAGCGCGAATCATACCACTAGACCATTGAGCCGAATCCATTGATGAACCCGCCGTTCGGAAATGGACTACATGTTGGGAAACTTGGCAAAACCACGTATTAGGTGCCAGACGGAACAGGAGTGACCGTGCCCGCTGCGCGCGGGCACGCCAAAGGAAGCCTGGAGGAACTTGCCGGCTGCAGGTAGGCCCCATAGCGGAGTCAACGATGTAATTGTTAAAGGCAGAAGAAGAATCCATCTTGACTGCAATGGAATTATAAACAGTATCAGGAGATGATTGTAGTTTAGGTCAGAAAATCGGGATGGAAAGAACGTATTGAGTTCCTTGGATTGGGAAGATGGAGCACAGCGGTGTAAAAAAGGTGGCCTCTAGCACCGGTTTGACCTCATCGCCGATGTATGACGCCGCATTCTTGAGTCTCCAGTAAGCTATATCGTCATCTAGGGGTTTCAGTAATCAGATCCCGTAAAGATTAACCTCTGTGGCGTAATCTCACAGAGCTGATAGGTTCCGTGTATTTTGTGCGTCAAAGAAGCAATTTGCTTCGCTACCCTTCGTCACGTAGACGACCATCGAGCCGTAGGCCTTGCTTGTATCCTCCTGCTGAGCCAGGCAATCTTGGCAATGTTGACGTTGTTCTCTGTAGTCGTGGTTCCAGGAATGGGACGTCATGGCCGAATCAGCGCAGACTGAAGCTGCTGACGAAGAAGCGGGTGCGTCGCTCTAGTAGTATAGTCAACCCATAATAGATGTCGACCATGAAACCTCATTTCCGCCACTTTTTGACAGAAATTTAATTTCTTGGTTCGTGATTGTCGAGGATTGCGCGACGGAGGCACGCAAAGGCACGAGCGAAGCAGCGAGTCACAGGGGCCCTGATGCCAAAGTGCGGGTAAGCGGCTTTTTTCCGGCGATTTGATTGGTCAGAATAAAGCAACAACGGTCCGTGCACCTCCACCGCCAAGACCAACTGCGAGATGCCAATTCGAGGAAGCAAAATGCAGATGACGCCAGACTTCGAGATGCTATCGAGAGAAGTCGAAAAGGAGAAAAAAGCCAAAATTCTACAGTGAGAAGTCGACAGTACAGGTTAGAAATGACACCGGTTTTTTGGGTTTTTTTTAATGGAGAAAAACTGGTCCGTGCTTAGAGCAGGCCATGGCATTTTCGACCTAAGGAACCTGGAGTTCCTCCAGGCACTCTTTCGTATCGCAGCCAACGCGTGCCTTGCCTCGAAGTATAACGAGAATCATCCAGTCTCGATTATGGTTGAGATTGTCAACAAAATGACATGCGGTTTAAAGGGGGTGGTTATGCTGGACGGAGGTAAGGTTGATAAGTATACGGACTTAGATATCCTTAGGGCTCAACTGAGTGCATTGCCCTCCTATCCAACAACGAACCTCGAAGCCACCTGTTGCCTCTTTACATCACAAGACTATTGCAAGTTGAGAGATGAGCTAAATGAATCGCAGATACACGAGAGGGACTCCGCGGCCAAGAAATATTGCTCGGCGTAATCGACCTCTAACCGAATTCGGCGGGGAAATGCTCAGTTTAGAGCGTATTGTTAGCGCCCTTGTCCAGCAGGAGTTGCACAATCTCGGTATGGCCTCTGAATGAGGCAACATGAAGAGCGTTGTCGAAGTCACCGCCCGATGAGTTGACGTCGGCACCCCTGTCCAGCAGAAGTCGCACGATCTCGATGTAACCCATGTATGAGGCAAGATGGAGGGTGTTCCCAAACCTACTACCTTGCGCATCGATATCGGCCCCATAGTCTAGTAGGAGTTGCACAGTCTCACTATGGCCTTCAACTATGGCAGCCTGGAGAGCGTTGGCGAAGAAACCACCAGACGCGTCGACGTTGGCGCCTTTTTCAAGGAGGAGCCGTACAACCTCGCTGTGGCCTCGCACTGATGAGGCTTGGAGAGGAAAGCCAAAGATTCCGGTCTCGGCGTTGACATCGGCGCCCTCGTCCAACAGATATCTTGCAACGGTTGGTAAACCAGCCAGGCAAGCATAATACAATAGCACGGATGCTTTAGGGGGTCCTGGGCCGGTCTGCTGCTCGCAGTCACTCTGGAAGAACGGATACCATCTTGAACGGTTGATTGGTCTTCCAAGAATTTGGCTGTTGCTCGAACCACGTCTTCTGAAGTCTGGGCCAAAGTTGCATAGTCAATCCAGTTCTTGGCCGCATATTCCGTCAAAGGAAAGTCCTGCTCGATCTTGTCAAAACTGCTACCTTCGATGCACGTAAGGTAACTCAAACAAGTCTTCGTGATGACGGTGCTTGCGCGTTTGATGTCAAACTGGTCTTGTTTAAGCAGATACTCTTTGACTGAGAAGTGGGCAAGTTGGAGCTCCTCCCTGGTCTTGCCACAATCCGAATAGGCCTCAATTACTGAGACCAAACCGGGACAATACCGTAGAACGTCGGCCTCACGAAACAGTCTGCGCTTCGGGTCGAGGCCACGTGGTTCCTCATCCGTCTGCGTGGCGATGACCTCTACAGCCTCTCTTAGCGTTAATGGTCGCTTGGCGTGAACGAGAAACTGTAGGAGACGAACGGCATCCTTTGCAATGTTTGCCGGGATGCCTTGAAGCATTCGATGGTACGTTTCGTAGAGATCTCGGGGCAGAGTCTCAGAGCGATTCCAATGGCTCTGGGGCTCATGCAGGCTGCAAGACTTGCCAATTGACATGCAACCCACCTGAACCTATCCTAGATGTTAACATTCGCTCCAGTACCTGAGGTACCTAGTTTCGTTTGTAAACCGACCGCGGGAAGAACTCACATGCCATCGGCCCCGTCTCCAACTTTTGTGCAAATACGTTCAAGAAGATCTTGTGGCAGTCGCTTGTCTACAAAACTGGCATTTTGTTTCAGTGCTGCCGTGACATAGGAGCGAATGTCGGCATCAACAGCTTTCCTGTCGAGCGGAAAACAGCGCTTTTTGCCGATCCATTTTGGAATGCGGCTCAGGAACTCTTCCTCTGGTCGGCTGGTGGCAACCATATGAACATGGCTCAAGTCAGACATGGTGAATAATTCTTTCATCCACTCGAGCAGTTCCTTTCTCTCTACACATTCATCCAATGCATCCAGGACAATGTACGTAGTTTTTTTTTGAACCTTTCATCATCGAGTAGAGGCAATCTCTTAAACTCGGTGTGTCTGGTTGACGCTGGCCATCAAGGTGAGATTCGTAGAAGCGGTCGAGATCCTTGGGATGAAGCCCCAACTTGTAGAGTTGAAATACGAGGGAGCGTAAGACGCCGTCCATCTCTTGTTTCGCTGTGTCACTGAAGTCGAAATAAAATTCGAGGGTGACGGGATGTCGAAGGGGGCCGGGAGGGTGGTTACTTGTACACGGTGAGCAGGGAACTGGCGGGCGTTTCCGGGCGTCTCCCATTATTCAATCGGTCGGGATGAAGATGTTGGGCATGTCGAAGACGATGCGGAAGCGGAGCTAGTGCCACATCCATACCTGCGTCCGGGGTGGCCAGGCATTGGGCCCCAGACGGACTTTTCACATTTGCGCATGTTGGGGGTCGTCGCGACGTACTGCTGGGTTGCTTGCGTAAGGGTGACCACCAGGACCAGCAGGGCCGCGGCGAGCGCTGCCCAAGCTGCTATGTCCCCTGAGTCCGCCATGGTGCTTGAAGTGTTGGCCCTATCGAGTCTTGTCCGCAGTGTCAAACGCTATCAGGTGGTAGTTTAGGTTCCTAGAGATATTATTATTGAACCCTGTCTACCAAACCAAGAATTTGATGTGGGTAGCAGCTTGTATTATCCGAGAACGTGGGAATCGCCAAACAATATTTATTTTTCTACGTGATCTTTGTTGAAGGAGTGGCTGTGCTCCCCGGGAGGGAGCAGGCTAGGTGTACTATGTCTATCTGCTGAACGGCAGTGTTCTGTTCTGGGCACGGCTGAGGACTTGCCCTAATACTCAAACCTGGCATAGACCCGGCCTTCTCAGAACGAGTCATGTCCGACCTACCACCCCGTTTATGTAGGTAGTGTATGGACACCAGAGCCAGATTCCAATCAGGGACCCTTGTTCCTCAACTGTTCTGGTTTGGGTGTTAGTTAGCTTGGCTGCTGACAGTCTCCCCATTAACAAGACATAATTCGACGTTATCTCGCTTGGGGATCGAGTCGGAGCCCCAAGCGCGGAACACAACATAAGGTTCCATGTTAGGCCTAGGAGTCGAGCTGCCTACGTGTGTAATTATCTATGCATGGGGGCATTTGGCCCCCAAAGTTGTGTACCCCCTGGTTTCCACAGGTCCACGTTTTGTGGTTGCATTAACTTGATGGTAGTTAAAAATTGTGAGTTCCCCAGGTTCTGCTTTTTCCCGAGTTTCTCTCGTATCATCCTCTTCCGCTCCGAGTTACCTCCAGTTACCTCCAGACTCACTCTACGACAAGATGCGCCTCCAGGCGGCACTGTCACTCCTTTTCACTGTTGGCCTTGCCACAGGACTTCAGCAGAAAGCCGATCCCAACTGCAAATGTGTAAGTTTTTCACTCTTTCGGTCCCGTCTTCGGCCACCTCTCGGTGCGCACTGCAAATTTCGAGTTGACAATTTGACCTCGTTTTCAACACACAGGTCCCTGGTGATACTTGTTGGCCAAGCCTCTGCCATTGGCAAGACTTTGAGGGGAGGTTAGGTAGAGGCAAGCTCATCAAGTCTTCTCCCATTGCCGAGTCGTGTTACAACGGCCCGCACAAAGATCTTGATCAGTGCGCCCATGTGACACAGATGTGGTCGGATCAGGACTTCCAAACAAACCAGCCGATTGGCAGGCCTTATCCCTACAATATCACCTGCGCTCCCATAGACTACGCCGCCGGAGAGACACCTACGTCGTGCACCCTTGGCTCCCTCCCCCAATACGCCGTCAATGCCACCACGATAAAGGACATTTCCCTCACGCTCGACTTTGCCAAGCGCAACAACATCCGTCTCGTCGTCACCAGCACGGGACACGACCTCCTCGGCCGCTCTGACGGCTATGGTGGCCTCCAAGTATGGCTCCGTCATTACCGCAACGGCATCCATTTTCAAAACACCTTCTCGGGCAAGCCCTCTGCCGGGAAAGGGAAAGGGGCCGGCAAATCGTGCACAAAGTCCGGCTGGAAGGGCAGCGCCATTCATATTGATGGCGCATGGCAGTGGAGTGACGTGTACAAGGTTGCCGAAGCAAACAATGTCATCGCCGTGGGCGGTGGCGCTGTCTCCCCGGGCGCTATTGGAGGCTGGCCGTCCGGCGGCGGCCATGGCCCTGCCACACGCAACTACGGGCTTGGTGCCGACCAGATTCTTGAGGCCGAGATGATGCTCGCAGATGGGACCATTGTCACGGCCAACCACTGCGAAAATACTGACCTCTTCCGTGCTATCCGCGGCGGCGGCCCTGGCTACGGCATCGTCCTCAGCCAGCACATCAAGGTCTATCCCAATGTGGATGTTGTTACCGTTCATCGACTCGCTATCGCTCCGCTTCAGCAAACACCCGAGAACGCGGACCTCCTCGATGCCGTCGCAGTCCTGCTCCAACATTTCCCCAATATCAATGAAGAGGGATATGCCGGTTACGCTTTCTGGTTCCGCAACTTTCCTATGCCCTTCATCGGCGACACTCCATCTGGCTATAGCCACGGCATCTGGTCAGTCGGCAAGGGGAAAGCTGAGGCTGAGCAACCCATAACCACGGTAGTCGAGGCGCTTGAAAAGTTCCAGGACAAGCTGTTCATCCACTCAACCTTCACCGAGTACCCTGACTACTGGTCATTCTACCACGCCGAGTCTGGACTCTACGACCCCACCGGCAGCACGTCCATCCTGACATCCCGCATGATCGACAGCGAAGCCGTATCCGACTACCAAAAAGTCCGCGACACGGTGGAGGTCATCAGCGGCAAGCCCGAGGAGTTTGCGTCCAACGTCGTCCTCCTGGTATCAGGTGGCCAAGTCTTCCGAGACGGTTCGGACGCAACCTCGGGCCTCCACCCGGCCTGGCGCACCTCCCCCTTCGTCCTCGTCACCGGCCAGGGCATCCCCAAGGTTGCGAGCCGCGAGGTTCGAGATTACGTCACCCACGAGATCACACACGTCAAGGGGGCGGCCCTTAAGAAACTGGCCCCTCACACGGGTGGCTATATGAATGAGGGTGATCGTCACGACCCGGATTATATCGAGACCTTTTACGGGTCCAATTATGAAACTCACTTAGCGGCTAAAAAGAAGTACGACCCGGATCATGTCTTCTACTGCCCAACCTGTGTCGGTGCCGAGGCCTTCATCGAGAGGCCCGACGGGCCCCTTTGTCGCAAGCCCTGAGTGTGCAACGACAGTTTTGTACTCCGTTGATATATGTTGAGGCATTGATATCCAAGAAGAATGTAAAGAGATAGAATTTCTGTTCGAATACACCTTTTCATCATTGTGCAACGGCGTATGGTCGGTTGATACATTGTGACGAACCTACTTCAGGACCCTGTCCTGTTAGGGTTCAGCTTCGGTTGAAGGTAATCTCTCAAGGGTGCTTAGGTTCGGTGCAGCCAAAGGGTGCACAACAAAGACTTGTCTCAACAGTAGGCTTTCGAGCTTGTAGCGAACTGTAGTTGTGATTGCTAACTGGAGAACTCCCAGAGCTCTCCAGTACGAGTGACTATATACTATCTAGTATCACCACTCTGTTGGTGATAATCGCCCATTATCATTGACAACCAGTGATAATCGTCCATTATCACTGACAACTAGTGATAATCGTCCATTATCACCGACAACTAGTGATAATCCAGTTCTTATTGGTCCTTAAGCGATTGGCTGCCGGCGTCCTGCGCTGTCGGCTGTGGCCGCCCTGGCCGCCTCGGGGTCATTCCGTGACATACATGCATCTAAATAACAAGACAGTAGCCCCTTTTCGACTCCGCGATGGCAACAATGGTTGACTTGCTATATTCTGTTCTGTGTGACCAGCCGATATTGCTTGAAGATACTCAATGTACATGCACGTAAATAGGTACCTACTTCGACATGTAGGTAGGTAACAAACTCTGACCCTCTAAAAAGAAAGATTCCCCCCATTAACCCCGTACGCACTCGCAATCGACTGCGAGCTGCTCCCCTCGGCAATCATCACATAAACCGGCGCGATCTCCGCGGGTTGCGCAATCCTCCCCAACGGCAGCTGGGCGGCGACCGTATCCGCGTTCTCAGTCGTCAGGCCATGCGACGTGAGGAAGTTGGTAGCCGTGAGCCCCGGCGCGACCGCATTGACCCGGATGCCCTGCGGGCCCAGCTGCAAGCCCAGGGTCTGCGCCATGGAGACGAGCGCGGCCTTGGTCGCGGCGTAGTCGACGGCGGCGCCGTGCGGGCGGCGGGCCATGCCCGAGGATGTGAAGATGATGGAGGAGCCTGGCGGGAGGAGGGGCGCGGCGGCGCGGACGAGGTAGAAGGAGGCGAAGACATTGACTTCGAAGGTTTGGAGGATCTGCGCGGTGGAGAGGGTGGAGATGTTGAAGTGCTGGACGAAGTAGCCTGCGTTGCTGACCAGGATGTCGAGGCCCCCCATGGCTTCGTGCGCGCGGTGCACGAGGCTCGTGCAGAAGGTTTCGTTGCGGAGGTCGCCGGGCATGGCGAAGAAGCGGACGCCTTCGGCCTCGACTAGTGCGGCTACCTCGTCGGCGTCGGGTTGCTCTTCTGGGAGATAATTGATGGTGACATCGGCGCCTTCGCGGGCGTAGGCGATGGCGACGGCTCGGCCGATGCCGGAGTCGCCGCCCGTGATGAGGGCCTTGCGGCCCTTGAGCCGGCCGGTGCCGATATATGATTGCTCGCCGCTGTCGATGGGAGGGTCCCAGTTCCGGTGAAGGCCCGGGAAGCCTTGGTCGGGGAGGATGACCCGCTGCGGATACAAGGTTCGAGGGTCGATCAGAGAGGGTGCGTGGGAGACGGTGTTGTCTGAACGTGTTAGCGTGTCGACTTGCGTGTGTGCTGGGTGTGGGTTCTTGCTGTTTCGAGCCTGAGCCGAGACAGCGCCGGCAAGAAAGGAAGCCGAAACAAGGGCGGACAGAAAAGCCTTCATTGTGTTCATGATAATAATCCTTATGGGGATACTTAAGATCGGAATTGGATGTGTATAATATGCAGGCGATGAATTGCCCGATGTCGAGTTAGCATTAGCATGATGAGAACCGGGCGAAGGGACAACGTACTTATAATTAACTGGGCATTTCCGTGATGCTCAACCCTGATATCGATGCCCAGCGTCCTCATCAATATTCAACAATGATCAACATCGTAACCAGAGCCAAGTGGTGAGACGCAGTACGCAATAATGAACATGAGCCACCAGCACACGTCAGCCGTGCTATTATGCCGCATAGACTGCTTTCCGTATCCGGGCACCGGTCCAGGACTATCAAAACCCCCCTGCCCTAGCAGCTCGAAGGTCACGGCCTAAATGGGAAAACAGTCTTTGCAATCCTTCTCAGCACTGACTTGGCTGAAATTGAACCCCTGGCTCTCAACGCGCAATAATCGAGCAAAGCGCCGATATTCTGATGCTATCAATGGAGCATACTCCGGGGGCTGCAACTGATATTTGCGGATGCTTTCACCGACCACTCGTGCGACACGGCCTCCACCTCCTGCTATCCCATCTCATCGTAAACTTCCTCGGCGATTGCGCGCCCTGTTCGCCCACTGTATGTACATCTTTGAGTTCCTTTGATGCAGCCCTATAACGTATATCGGTCCCTCCTTTAGTCTCCTCCGCCGCCGACGACGTGAGGCAAGATGTGGCCCAGGGCTTGCCGTACCCTCTCTTGAACTTGGTGTTGAAAGTAGGCCGCTTATGCCGGGCGTGGTAGTGAATCGGCCTCGGAGCCGTCCCTGGCCACATGACGTGCAATCCCAGCACCAACGTTCTACGTTTTCAAGCACCCTTCAGCCAGGCGCCGCTCCAATTCCTGAACGCGTTGCTCCGCTTCCACTCTGCGCCGCTCAGCTTCCGCTCTGTCCCGTACTGCTTTCAGAAATGAAGTTTCCATATCCTCGAGAGTGGCGGTAAACTTGGCCGGATTGTGTTGATGGCGAGCCCTGCGAAAGAAGACTCGAAGGCGCTCGTATGTTATAGAAATCATAGGGTTTCTATCGAGGCGTTAGATTCATTCCGTTTCAATAGACAGAAGCGACATACCTTGTGATTCCAGCAAGCGACTCGGCGACTGAAGGGCGACAATATAATGCAGGCAAACCGGTACCACCAACGAAGTGGGAGAGATAGAGATCCACTTGCCCAACGGGTTGTTGATCGAGACCGTCGTCGTAGTAGACTTGGTGATACTGGCTCCAGTAGCCAGAGGAGTTGTCGGCTACTCGCAGGCTAACCCACGCTTTTTGTAAACCGGGGTATTGAAGCTTGAGAATCAGGACAGCTTGGATCGGACTGTCCAGCGCATCGATGTACTGGCGTCCTTTCCTTTCCACATGCTGACGGGACTCGCTCTATGAGACCTCACAGACAAAGGATGGTATAGAACCAACCTGGCCAAAGTAAACATCGCCTTGCTTGAAAAGCTGGTTGCCGTACTTGATCGAGCTGGTGCCATGGTTGGCGATGGACTGGATGTTGGAGCAGGCAACAGGGCTGGAAGCAGGAAGACGAAGTCCACATACTGAGGCTACTGCTAAAGCTAGGGAAGCAGGAGGAAAAGAGGCCGACCGCGGGTTGGATGGATGGATGGAATTTGTTTCGCCCGGAGGCACTGGGCCTATAGGGCCTTAGCACGCTAACTACATCCGGATCAAATCGGTTTGCCTTTAACTCGTACAAGCCCCCTACTTCTTCCCTCTTTCTCGCTGCACCATTTACCTCTTGCCTTGCGCGCGCCAGGGTTGGGGTTGTGTGTGGGGAGGTGGAGGTGGGGTCACGTGCATAGTCCGGGGGGGGGGGGGGGGGGGGGGGGCGGTCACATAGTCCGAAAAGTATCTCTCAAAAGAAAAACGATTATCCCGATTAGTTAGGTATAGCTGGGGGCTTGATAGTATTTCGTGGGTGCTTGGGAGCCCTTCCCAAAAAAAAAAAAAAGAAAAAAAAAATGACATGGTTGACTCTCGCAATTCTAGGTGGGGAGAAGCAACTTTAATGGCAGCGATAGCTGCGTATCGCCGACTGCCAACCATAACATCGCAGATTTGCAAAAAAAAACAAAAAAGCACTCAAACAACTAACTAGTTCTAGAAAACGTTCCTCCAGGCTCCTTTGGCGTGCCGCGCGCAGCCGGCACGGGCACTCCTGAAATCCTGTCCTGCCTGCCAATTCTCCGAAGGAAGCCATTCAGACCAAATTACCTCCGATATCGCACATGAGACGAAGACGGGCTGTTGGTCTAGCGGTATGATTCTCGCTTTGGGTTAACACTGTTCTGCGAGAGGTCCCGGGTTCAATCCCCGGACAGCCCCAAGTTCGGATGAATTTTTGATGTCATCTCTCCACTATTAATACAACGTGCGAATGAAATGAAAGACTCTTTTTTTTTCTTCCTCTCTTTTTGCACCGGGTTGGAACAAATACTTTTCAGTTGATCTAAGTTTATTTCCTAGTTAAGCTTAGTGATGCGGGACACTGTGTGAGAGATGAGCGGAAGGGGTCGCGAGGCTCAAAGGCACTGCCAGTACCACTCTATTCCGTTAATCGAAAGCTGAAGAAAGAGAGGAAAGATACAAGATAGCGCGTTGGCAACGCGAGAAGGCATGCCCAGAACGGAGCTAGTCCGGATGCGGAAGTGCACCTCCAACCCCAACCCTGGGTGCGCTTTCCGTCACACACTGCATCTAATTGCAAATAGTAGAAAAAAGTAACTAGAAGAAAGAGTTGTCTGTTCAAAGGTAGAAGGTGCCTTAGCCTGCACTGCAATATAGTTGTGCGCGCAGAGCGCACAGACTATTTGCAGAGGACCAAAGTGGGGCGGCCTGACCAGGACGATGTCTTACTCACTAACTCTAATCACACAATGAGGATTCTTGCATCACTTAGCGTAACAAAACTTGAGAGATGCTAAATAAAAAAGCATCAGGAGGTTACAGGCCTATAGCCCTCCTACCTACAGTTGGGAAGGTCATAGAAGCACTGGTAGCAAAGAGGATTACTAGTGCTGCAGAGGCCTACGGCCTACTACCAGCGGAGCAGATGGGAAACCGAGAGCACAGGTCAACAGAGGTAGCGATTCGGCTAGTCGTAGCCCAAGTCCAGGAGGCCTGGCGGCAGAAAGCAACCGCCTCCCTTCTACAGTTGGATATCTCAGGGGCATTCGACACCGTCAACCACACCCGGCTACTAGCCACTCTTCGGCTACAGGGTTACCCACAGTGGGTGGTTCTGTGGGTGAAGGCGTGGTTAAGTAACAGAGTTGCGATCCTCCACTTCGACGGCCAGAAAACAGAGGACATCCCAGTCATAGCGGGAGTCCCCCAGGGCTCACCACTATCCCCGATCCTATTTATCCTCTACATTGCCTCCCTAGGGGCCTGCAAAGGTCTTGTCAAAAGCTCAGAACAGGAGCCTTCGAATAGTAGTAGGGCATACAAGTCAGCTCCTATTCGGTGCTTAGAAACAGAGGCCTGGGTGCCACCGCTAGACTTATATCTCAACAAGCGGCCGACTGACTTCGAGGGCCGGCTGCAGAAGCAGGCCCTACAATCAGGGGCTGGGCCGGAGGCTGAGAGAATAACCACGGGGCATCTAATCACTGAGGCCTGCAATACGGTCTACCGGAGGTTCAACAAGAGGAGGAAAACCCGAGGCCGGAGGCCCCGTCAGGGCCCGCAGAGTCCCACGCCCACTGAACTAGCCGCTAGTGTAGTGGCCCAGTGGGTTAACTACAAATTGGAAGATCGGGGGGAAGGATAGGGGGTCGAATACCAAGGAGGTGGTCGAACTGGCCTGGCAGGCCCGGTGGGAACAACAGAGAGCTAGTCAACAAAGTACTACTCGACAGAGGGTATTAAACAGGAGGATAGCCGACGAAGACCCCCCAGCCCTCTTATTTACCAACAAAGTTCTGACGGGACACGAAGGTCTTTCAAAGGCGCAGAGCTCCCTCCTTTCCCAGGCCCGTATCGGGGATATAGGCCTCCGGGACTACCTGTTCAGGGTGAAAGTCCCGGAGGTCCGTACCCCCTATTGCGAGTGCGGGAGAGGCAGGGAGACAGTGGAGCACTTGGTGGTTTGGTGCCCCGACCCGCCGTTACAAAGGCCGTGGGACGGCAGAGAGATTCGGTCACATCGGGACCTACAAACCGTATTACGGGGAGTAGGTGCCCGGAGCAGAAGATTTGTTAGGAAGGTCCTTGGCTGGCTGATGGACTCTGGCCGGCTACTGGAGTATAGCCTGGCCAGAAGGCTGGAGCTAGAAACAGTGGATGGGGAGGGCTAGAGGGCCCGGAGGCCGGCAAAGGGCCTCCTTTCTTTTGCAGCATGACGGATTCATAGATTGTTGTCTCAAAGTGGTAGACAGAGGTTTTTATCCGGCCTATACGGTACGGTTTCCTTTGTAAATAGCAGTAGAAGGACCGGCGCGCCCCAGGGCATATCGGGTGTAGGAAATAATAATAATAAATAAAAAAGCATCGCTGTGTGGTAGCTGGAATGCTCATAACTGACTCACTTGTTGAAGACGATTATTTTGGGGAAAGTAGAGTTGAATGAACCGAAACCCACTCTTTTTCTGGTGATGGTTAGGGGAGCAAATTTAAACGTTGACTTTTACTGGTAACTAGTTAGTTACACTTTATTTATTATCGCGGGATTCATTGACCCCCCGCCCTAACGCAAGAGCCCACCCCCCTTTTACATGCTTCGAGACCAAAATAACAATACACATGCCACGCCCTGCGCCCGCTCATTACCCCCCTGTGCTGTTTCCACCATCCTCTCAAAACATAGAAACACAACCCGCCCAGAACTAACTACTCCCCACCGCCCACATTCGAATGCGACGTGCCCGGCCTGCTGGAGCCCAACTTCCTCAACTTCCCACCCGCCTTGGTATTAAACAAACTCTTGACCCTCCGCAGCCTCGACATCATATCACGATCCTTCCTATTCCTCGCCTCCTCATCATCCACCTCACCCTCTCTCCCCTCCTCCTCCCCATCCTCACCCTCACCCCCCACCAAACCCCGCGGCCGCCCATCCACCGTCACCGGCCTCTCCGGCGTCTTGGGTACCGCCGCCCCATCGCCACCACCGCCCGAGCCGGAGCCGGGAGCAGGAACACTACTCTTGCTCCGGCCATGGCCATGGCTCTGACTCTGGCCCGGCACCACGCCCCGGGCCTTCTTCTTGCGACTGCCCCCACCCCCAGCCACCCGCTCCCGAATAAACGCCTCATTCCGCAACCCCACAACCAACACCTCCCACGCTGCCGGCAGCGGCACCTCCTCTCTCTCCTCACCTTTCACCAAGAGAAGCAGAAGAGCCGCCCTGACCACCGCACCCGGATTCGCTGCGCCGCGGGTTTTTCC